TGTGGGTGCAGAACACCAGATTTCACAGTCAAAATTCCCTGGGAATTCTGAATGAAAGTGTAGCCTGTAGCTCCCAGGGGCATCCATGACTACAGCTTAATCATCTAGAATGAATTATTTAGAATTAGTTAGAATTAGTTAGAGAGGAGGAGCTGAAGCCTGCGTTCCCAGAATCACCAGAGGGTTTGATCTGAGTAAGTTCTCCTCCCCTTGAGGTCACCATGGGCTGAGATTAAACTGTTTTGTTTTGTTTTGTTTCCACCAGGTGTTGAACTCAGAGGTGCTTAACAACTGAGCCACAACCCAGCCCTGTTCAGTTTCTATTTTGAGGCAGGGTCTTGCCAAGTTAACTAAATTGCTGAGATTAACCTTGAATTTGTGATCCTCCTGCCTCACCTCCAGAGCCCCTGGGATTTCAGGTGTGTGCTACAGCATCCAGCCTTAACTTCTTTTCAGAAAAACCATGATCTGAAAATGGGGCAGCCTCTGGCTAAGTCACTCTGTCTCAAACACCACACTTCCCAGAGGCCTCTGCAGTGGGCTGTTTTTGGGCTTCTGTTGGGCGCATGAGTGAATTTCCTGCAGCTGCACATGTCTGCACCCCTGGCTGCAGCAGCGCTTGGCCTGGTGGAGTGCAGGGCTGGGGTGCAGGTGTTAGGTAATAGCTAGCAATGAGCAGTGAAATGCAGGCAAGGTCCCAAGAGTTCTTTAAACTACTCCCAAAGTAGATGAGAAAGCAAAGGTGGTAGTTAATTTGTAGAAATAAACCGAAGCCAAGGAGCTAATGGGAAGGCATGTCAAGAAAAAGGAGTAATGGGACTAACTCTGTCCACTGAGGTTGGTGGGAAGCTACAAATTATGGCTAAAGGTGGCTCCATTTGTCTGGAAAGGAAGTGTTGCAGGGCACAGACCAGGCAAGACACCAAACAGGAAGCAGATTTTATTTGTCTATAGCCAGGTTCAGAGGGCACAGCTTTCCGTGTAATCAATCAATCCCCCTGAACTTTGAGTTCAGTAGTTTCAGAACTCTATACCCAGCATGTAAGGGGAAGGGCTCAGAAGTTCCCAGTCTGCAGAAGTTCACACAAAAGCAGCTTTTTCTTTCACTGTTCTGGGCAAGTTAACCCTTCAAGGACAGCGACTGAGAAGCGGGGAGCTGCTTCTCCCCTCCCTTCCTTCCCCTGCCAGCTCTTACCATGGAGACGTTGGTAACTTCTCTTATCTTAGAGAGCCATCTCAGTGAGGCTACAGCTTAGGGCCAGAGGCCTTGTTACAGGATTTGTCTTTTTTTTTTTT